TTAAGGAGTCTTGTAGAAGGAACTTCTATTTACTTTGGAGAGGCATAAATGAACCAAAACAAAATAAATAAGATAAGAACACAGCGAATAAATAAAAGAAAGAAGAAAATATTATATTATAAAAGATCTTATTTTAAAGTATTATATCAAATATCTTAAAAAATAGGTAATAGTCAAAAAGATAGTAAAACTAAAAGGTACTATTCTTGCCTTTTTACAAAATAAGTTTCTATTTATTTTGTAAAACCATAAATAAGGCAAAAAAAAATTAAAAAATAAAATAATATAGACATATATAGGATAGAATCAAGAAGAGATTTTACCAAAATTACCTCAAGAAGCCAAGAATTGATACTCAAAGAAGACTAGTTGTCAACTTGGATTGAAATCAGACCCCAAAGTACAAAACCATGCATCTATGATGACTCTAAAGTTCTTTGGGAGATTGGAGAGCAAGATTTGAAAGAAAACTTAATAAAGTTTCTTTGGGCATTAATTTTGATTGATTTGAGATTATAATGACTTTGTAAGAACTTTACAAAGTCACAATTATTTTAGATGACTATAAAATTTGTTAAATAAAAAGAATATTATGTTTTAGAAAAATTCGTGAATTTGGTAGTAGATCTATAGTTTAAATTTTGAATACTTATGAGAATAATTATTTAAATTATATGTTATAAGTTTGAACTTGATCAAAGAAATGAATTAAAGGTTATTGAATTTCAAGTAGGTTGGGATCTTAAAAATTGGACTTTGAGGGATAATTAGGATTTCTAAGATCTTTAGCAATCTATTAGTTGGATTAAAATGAAATTTATGTGTAAAAATAATAGACTTAACTTGCCACATATTTGTGAATTTTTAAAAAAATTGAATGATTTAAGAAAGAAATATTGGCACTAAAAGTTCAACATTTAGATTGAAATAGGAGGCCAGCCAACACCGGAGCAGATTTTAGGATATTTCTTCTATTCAATAAGTGAGATTATCTTCAAATTTTTTTTGTTTGTTGCTAATTTAGTTGCTGAAAAGTATAATTTTTTTTAAATAAGATCAACAATTAAATCAATAGATATTGAGGTTCTAAATTATACTAGGATTAGATTGAGATAGTTAGGATTTGGTTAGGATTTTATTTAAGATTAGAGTTGGATTAGAATTTAGGATTTGTTTTAAAATTTTCTTAGGATTTAGAATTTAAGATTTTTTTGGAATTTAGGATTTAGGATTTATTTAGGATTTGATTAAGGTTTGATTAGGATTTAGAATTAAATTAGGGTTTAGGATTCAATTTAGGATTTTTTTAAGATTTAAGATTTAGGATTTAGGATTTTCTTAGGATTTAGGATTTGGCTTAGAATTTGATTGAAGTCCATTAGGATTTCATCTAGGATTAAATTAGGACTTGATTGAGATTTATTTAAGTTATATTTTTATTATTTTAATATTTCTTTAGGACTTCTAAGGAAATTCTTTTAAGATTTATTGTGGATTTCTTTCAAACACCTTTAAGATTTTTTATTGTTTCTTTTGTAATTTCTTTAAGATTTCTTTTAAATTTAATTAAAGCTTATTTAGTATTATTAAGGTTTAATTAGATTTTATTTAGAATTCTATTAGAATTAAGATTTTATTATTGTAATTTCTATTCTACTTTCTACAGCTAAGTGCCAAGTGCATTCTTGAGTAAAACTTCACATAATATGACAACATCATAATACGCCTATGCTGCGGGCTTTTGTAATCCAAACATTGATGGTTCACCACATCTTTTGAACATTGCAAGCTCTAACGGGGTAACTTGAATACAATCATTGCAATCTTTTTTCTTGTTTAGGCCAACTTCAATTGACCAACGCCACAACTTTGGTATTATGATGTTTTGGCTCACAACATTGCAATTCCGTGCTCTAATATTTGTGCTCCACTACCACCTTGTGATTGTCAAGCACCGTGACTCCGAGCTCTGACCATGTGCTCTACTATCACCTTACAGTTCTATATTGCAATTCTAGTGTTGTCTTATAACTTTGCCTTGCCATTGTACAATATGTACTACCTCCAACATCCAATATTTTTATATTTCATACTATACAATATTTGTGATGATTAATGTGGCTATATATAATAGTGCAACAGTACAACCGAGCTAAATTCCACTGCCTAGGATAATAGTGCTCAAAATCCAATAGTAAAATAAGCCCAAATTATTTTTTATTTTTTATTTTTTTTAATCTATTTCATTCTAACATGCTTTATGACAAATTCAAGAAAATGAGAAATTCTTTTCAAGTGAAAGATTAGAAATCTACACCAAACTAAATCAAGCTATCTCTAATACCACTAAAGGAGAATCGAAGAGTGTAAGTGTGAAAATAAAAAATAAAAAAATCCTAAAACTTTACTAAAATGGCTAAAATACCATAATCAAGCAAATCCTTCCAATAAGTTTTTACTCTCAAAATCATTCACAAGACTTCATTGGATAAGAATGTCAAATCAAGGATTTTTTTCCATTTAAATACTTAAGTCAACTAATAGAAAAACTATCAATGGATGAAAAATTACTAATCAAAGTAAACTACAGACATCTCATGAGATTTGACACCTAGTGCCATATCACGTGATAATTTAATTTTTTAAAATTGAAACAATTAATAAAATAATTTTTTTTAAATAAAATTTACAAACTTCTTTGATACTATTTTGTATTTTTGACCACCAATCATATCTAAGAATATGTATCATATCAATACAACAAGAATATCATCTAAAAATTCTATCTTTTTATTATTATTAAAATTAAAATTATTAACTTTTATAGTTGGTTTAATTAAAATAGAAAGTCTTTTAAGTTTTTTTAATTATTTTTTAAAAAAATTATTCATGATTAATTATTAAATTTAATTGCTTCAAGTTGATGCAATTATTAAAATTTACTTTTTAATAGCATGTAAGGTCAATAAAGCATCTTAATAACATCTTTATTTGTTCACAATTGCTTCATGTTAAACCAATGATATCTATACCTCAAATGTATTACTTGCAATCTTTATCTTTCTAATAGACTTTAAAATCCTAATATTTTTATATTTTTGATAGCATATATGAATCTAAGGACATTTCTTTTATATTCTTATATCCATAAAACTGTAATTTCTTTAAATTCTTAATGCATATAAAGCTTGTGCATATATTTCTTTTCAATTTGGTATATATATACATATATATATATATATATATGTATTAGATAATATTATTAATGTGTAGAGCCAAATCTATACTCGCAATAAATTTGAGGGAGGTTAGAAGGAGAGGCAAGTAAAAGAAATTTTTATTTTTAACTTTGAATGTATTAGATTTTTCTTTTTGGTAATGATGATGTTCCAAGTCAAATGCTCCTCGTGCAAATTTGAAAGTCTCCTTCTTAGATTTTATTTCCTCAACTTCTTCTTTGGTGTCTTTCTCATTTAATTATATAGGTGAATTTCTAAAATAATATTTTGAGTATATAGTTTATATATATATATATATATATATATATATATATTCTTTAAATTTTCATATATTTCTATATATATATTCTAATGATATTTATTTTTTTTATTCTAATATAAATTTTTAAGATTTAATATTTTTTATTATTATATCTGAAATTTTAAATGCATCATATTAGATTCAGCAATAAATTAACTTATTTTTTTAATATTTTTAGTGCATAAAACCTAAGAATATTTTTATTTTATCTTATTGGATTATTATGACCTTTTTAAAGAAGTTGAATCTTTAATCACTTTAATTGACAAGATAGATATGATATTGTCAGACCTTTGTACTACCATGTCACTTCAAATGAAATCTTTAGTTTTAAATCAAATTCTTCTTGCATCTATAATAGTTTACAAGAAATTTCAAATTTATATGTTATCATTTGCAAAAAAATACATTACAAATCAATATATTCTTTACAAGCATAGGCTCTATATACAAACTTTTATTACAATATACATGCCATCATGTTAAAGAATTTAATAGATTTCACCTTATACCTTTTGCATAAACTTAGTAAATAATTTTTTATTTTTTATCCATCTTATATTTTTATAAAAATCTTCTTTGGAAATTCTTTAATCCACTATATGGTAATTATAGATGCTAAATTTACAAAGTTGTCTACTTTGATAAATAACTCATTTTTAAACCTCGACTATATTAGTATCTTAGAAATTGCATTAGGAAGTGATTACAAAATCATTAGTTCTTTCACAAAGCACCAATGTTTTTTCATTGATTAGTTAGATTATTGCCACAACAAATCTATCACAACAATTTATTTTAGTTAATATGAACTTTCTATATAATGTAAGATATATTTGCACACAATTGCATGTTTTCCAACAAATTATCAATATTTTAACCCAATTCTTTACTAATTTTCTTGAGAATGTTGTTATGTAGAAATCACTTATTTTTAGTTGAGATATGCATCAAAGTATTGCATCCATTTAGATTGACTCTTGAACAAATAATGTCATAGAATTGTTTTGATAAAAAAAGATCAAGATTATTATTACAAATATTGGTAAAAATTTAAATGTAAGTTGCAAAATTTGTGGTCTTTTACTATTATTTTAAATATATATATATATATATATATATAACCATGTACTTTTCTAAATATTTCTAATCCTTTGCAATGAAAGAGGATTTTTAAAAACTCAAAGATAATGTGTTACAAACGTTTTGAAAATACAACTATTTGACTTTGGTTGGATGAGATAGTTTTGTTAAACTGTTCATGAAAAGATTATTAAAAGTTAGCAGGTGGTTAACATGGTCATTGATAGCATTCAAAAGTTAACATGAGTCATGTTTTGAACAACATTCCCCAGGTTGCTTTAGCATGGATTGGTATTGTGTACATATACAACATCCTTGACTCACTTGGTATCGCTGTTGTGCAGTCCTTGCATTGCTCTCTTAATATCAAATAGATGCGACATATCGCCGGACCAGATCTTTTGCCATCTACAAGCCACGCTGCTTTAAGAAATCAGTCATCCCTCATCACCAGCACCAATTCCTTGTCTCACTCACACCTGCAAACAAAGATCAATATGGAGGAATCAAACTTGGGACTTATCAGAAAGGATTATTTGAAGGCCTTGAAGTGTTACTCAGGCTACTGTATCAGTATTACTTACATGCACAAGGTACAGGTGATAGTTTTCGATCAGTAGCTCTAGACTTGTTTGAGTAGCTGTAAATGTGCTTCATGTTTTCTTCAGCGCGGACAAACCATTTCTTTAGGGACATGGTTTTATAGAGATATGGAAGAAGAAAGCAGTCCTGAATTTCAAGCAGGAAATCAGATCCCCCCCCCCCCCCCAGACCCTTCTGATTTTTAACAGCTAACGTTTAGTTGTAACCATGATACGCATGAAGACTTCACTGAATGAATCAGTCCATGAAGTCCATACCCTTCGATTGCTATGGGACAATGCGAAATCACGTCAATAAGAATTGTCTCAGAATCTCACTACCCAGCTCAGTGGACCAATATTAAGGCTGTAATCAAAATGGAAATCAAAAAACCTTATAATCAGTTTTGCCCACGTTGTTCGGCATATGCAGGGAACACGAGGTTGATATCGCTTGAAAGCAGCAAGTTCACCAAATACTTACGAATCTTCTTCTTATGTTGCAGAGTGATCCGGTACGTAAGATCTTTCTAGTATCTTACCTAACTGCTCTTGAGTATAGGTCTGAGTCGAATCAATCTGCAGGCATTCCATAAAAATCAGCATACAGATGAGCAAAAACTCAATAAAGTCAACATCGTAAATAAGATAAATGCAGAATAAGATCTAACTCCATAGCACTTAATCTTCCATTTGTCTGCTGTCAGCGCACCTTGACAATCACGACGTGAAGAAGCATATCCTTCATGGATGAAGTGTTTGAATGTATAACCTCTAAGCGTAGCTTTTCCAATGCCGACATCATATGAACTATAAAGTTAGAGTGTCTTGTGCAATAAACTCGAATCATAGCTTCTTCTCCAAGAACAAAAACACTAATTACAGGTTTATTTTCAGAAGTGTGAACAAGAGGTGCCGATCTCTGACCACTCTCTTGAAGTCTGAAACGTTCTTCATCAGAACTTTCGGTCGAATCCCTGCGAGATGGATTAGGTTTTTTAGATTCGCCAGTTGATGCAAGCACTTGCCTTTGGAAAACCTTCAATTCAGCCTCTGCTTTTTGTAGCTTTTCTTGAAGCTCATTAATGTAGGTAATGGCATCTTCTAATAAGGATGCCTTATCCATCTGTCATATAAGAATACAGGGATACAAAAAGCAGCCATTACATAATGCCGAAGGAGCAAACCATCGATGCAACTAGCTTGCGAAGGTTATAGTACGACAAATATTCTCAAAACAAAAACGATTAATATTCTTTGTAGACATATACATGTAATGGGTTGCTGATTGAAAAACGCATAACTGAGATGAACACATTACCTTGGACACGTTTGGCACTACAGACCGTAGAGCATAAAATTTCTGATTGAGTTTTTCTCGCCGCTGCCGTTCAGCTTGCACATGATTTAGTGGCTCTTCCCTATCGTTTGCCGGCTTGCGCCCTCTTTTGCGTGGTTTAGGCTCGAGATTTGTACTTGATTCCACAACATTTTCTTTGACGGAAACGTCGGCTTCTGATTCATGACAATCTACCTCGGACGGAGCGAAACATGGTAACCTATTTGCAGTGGTAGGAGGTCCAGGCATTCCTCTCTGACCTATCTTAGAAAGGTGGTGGAAAGATACTGACTTCCCTACAATATATTTATTATCAACCAAGTTTGTTTCTGGAGTGTCCGAGCTCAATTCTTCCACCCGTGGTTTGTAGAACCTCATCGGGGGTCTTGACGAGGGTGGATTCTTCCTTCCAACAAAATGTGCTTCATGATCTTGACTTGGATTTGAACATCTGCCAATCTGACTTGCATTTGAAATTGAAGCACTTATTGTTGCTATTGACATAAGACTTGGGCTTGACGGTCGCATACTAGTCGCGTCGCTACTCAAAGGCAAGGAATGCGCCACCGCTTGGATTTCATGGGCTGCCCACATCATTGGTTCATCAAAAACCATCTTGACATTCTGAACAACTTCCCAGCTTTCTCTGATCTACCAAGGCCAAATGTAATGTTGTTTAACGACATGAGTAAGATCTCATTGAATCTCTGTAATTACTAGCATAATTTCAACGAGCACATAGTGAATCGATATCAGTCACACTCAAATAACTTGATAAATGTCTCTTGTGCTGATGCACAACCAAAATGTCAAATCAAATTAATTTGGAGAGATTCATCGTTAGATACTTGCCAGATCTGTCGATCCAAGCTCAACGACACCAGATTTCGACGGAATACAAAGGATTGTCTGAAGGATCATCTCACAAAAGTGAAGTTAACACGTGACCTCGTTTGTGATCCATGTACCAATCCGAGAGTAGATTAATTCCTTCACTAGCAAAGCCTCGTAACGCACAATGCAATTCTAAGAACTTGCCGTGAGATAAATGCAGAGCTACATACAAACAGTCGGTATCAATAACTCATGTTCAAAGACTTGGTATCATTTCGAACTCAATAACAAAATAGTGGTAGGAAACTTGAATGTATGTACCTGAATTCCAGCCATCTGTCCTTGGTAAAGCACCAGATGTGAATTCATGCCATCAAACAGCAATTAGTCAGTTCACAATTCTCGCTCCTACCTCACTCCAATCAGAATTTCAATGACTCCCATTGAATGTAATAGTATAATTGCAAGTTCAATTTAAACTTTCAGAACGAGCTTGAGTTTTAACACTTGCAGCTTCAGATATTCCACAATTCTCCACATTATTAACAAGCATTGACAGCAGACTGAACGTTTGCAAGCATCTGAGGACAACTCAAGGTAAAAAAAAATAGATCTTTTGATGATAAGGTGGATTGGTTCATTTCTAAAACTAAAATGCGCAAATTATATATTGTATGATTACATGTTATTTTATAAGTTCTTGAAATTAATTTAAAATCAGTCGAAATCACAAAAAATAACAGAAGGAAAGTATTACATATGTTTAGAAGTTGAATATAAAGGTCATGAGTTTCAATATCAAAATATAAAATTTCTTATTAAATATGCAAGTCTTCATTTTAAACCTTAATTAAATACTTTTACGAATCACGAATCCTGAAAATTTATTCTGTTGTAGCAATTTCGCATCCAAAAATATGTATATATTAAAAATTACATTGTATAAACCAATTCCAAATGCAAATGAAATTCGGTTAGTTTTTCGAAATAAGTCGAAGTTAAATGTTGATTTTAGTTTTAGAATCTGATTCCATTCAGGGATTCCTTAGATATTTGTCAAAATCAATTACTTTTATAATGTTGTGCTTCCACTCCGGTCTTTCATGGGGACAGTGCAACGTACAGCACAAAGTAGTCTCATAAATAACAGTTGATCTCAAAGAAGATTCTTTCACACATGGGAGAGAGTGTTCCCATTTTTAGCAACTTTGCAGGGATTCTTTTTTTGAATCGATGGAACCACAAGGTCATTTTCTAGCATAAACATGGGAACTTACAAAAATTTCAACATCTCGACCACCCGCATTGTTCGTTCTGAATGGCAAACAAGGATTCAAAGTAACTGGCAAGTAAACTGAACTGTGTACCTTAGCCAATTGAACACGACTGCAGTTATTATCAGGAGCTTTGTTCGCTCCAATTAGCCACACAGGTCTGTCAGATGCTAATGCTCGTCCAGGAGTCCTGCATGAAACGTAATTTGTGTGAGACAAACCTATGAATAACTTCCTGCTCTACAGAATGACCCAAAATCCTGGAGCCTGTAAAGTGAACACAAATAAAAAAATTCGAATGAGGACTCCAGTGTAACTCAGCAACCATGCAGCATTTCAAAGCGTTGAAGCGTGAAAAGTTTAAATACCCCACTCCGGCTGCATAAGAATGAGACATCGAAACAAGGTAAAACCATTCCGTATCCGTGACATAGTCGCTAACATCATCTTCAGAGCCATTGACTAGAGCCTGCAGCTCTCGCAACACCTTTCGCCTCATCTGTTGATCCTCCTCTTGAGAACCACCCTTCATGTTCCTCGCGTCGTTGATTTCATTCTCCTTAGCACTCCTGAAGTACCCATCACCCCAACCGAGCATCCTACAAACAATATCATAGATTCAGGATCAAGTGTATATGAGACCAATTGGCAAGTTCAGGAGAATCTAGCTAGCAATGACTGCCTTGAGGTACCACGATACAGGCTGCCCCATGATACAGGATGCTGACTACAAACTTTAACATCGCCAAACCTCGAGCCTGAAACATTGGTAGCGACTCTAACCTTGCATCAACGAATGTTCTTTCGTTAGATTGAATCTAGTAGACAACGTGTAGGGCGTCTTTTCTCCAAGAACCAGGAAAAATTCGTCAACTACTACCGCGTTGCAAAAGGTGTTCAAAGAATGATAGATTATCGGGAATATTCTAGAAAATGAGGGTTGTTGCTTCTGATTGTCAGCACTCAGCGAGTGCGTAGATCGAGCGAGAAGTCAGTCTGAAAGTTCCCCGTCATAAAGGATGTTCGAGATGGTAAAGTTTTAAAAAAGCGTTCGGAACACACTCACACATTGTTGAGTGTTCTAGACGCGTTACACGTCCGGGAACCGAGATTGACAAGATAGTCCATTTGGTGAAATGGACGATGTAAAGCCTGATCGGAGCTGCTGATAAACAAACCTTGTCAGGGTGCATTACAACGATTTTGCGCTTCCAAAGTCGAGAGGAAGCATCCGAACGAAGGTAGAAAAAACTATTAAGAATTTCTTTCGACTCCGTTACAGTCGAACTGGTCACGCAAAGCATCGTACGTCTTCGAGATGAATACGTCAAATTCTTACCAAGAAAAAACTAGAGTCTCGGATAATCGATGCCTGTGTCTTTATGCTGCATTGCGTTCTACAAATTCTACGTCTTTGCTAAGTTTCCAAACCGAAAAGGTCCATGACATAATTGTTTCATATGTAATAACTTTAAAGCTCAATTACAAGCTATAATGAAGTCAAAAGAAATAGCTGACAAAAATGTAAATTCAATGGATAAGATCCATTTCCCTTACATCTCCCCTTCACGTAAGGCTGACAGCTGCCAAAAGATTGCATACGTCCAATCCACGGTACTCTCTTCGACCAGCGAGTGCAGCCTCCGCAGCAACACCGACTCGTTCAAGTGGAGCTGCCCGTCCGGATCATCCTGCACTTCGAAGCCTTCCACGCAGTTATACCCCGTTCCCATGAACGCCTCGATCATAGCTGAGTCCGCTACTTCCCACGCATTCAATAACTGCGACATTTCCATTTCCGCGCGTCCCCTAACCCCCTCCTCCAACCGATCGATCCTCAACACCGACTCCAACAACAAACACCTGCAGCACGCTCACAGTCCACTTTCATGCATCGACTCTACCTCTCACGTCGCTCATCTGCTTCAGCCATAATCGTGGCTTCTGTGAGACGATTCCTCCTTCCTGCCCTGGATTCCCATCCATATTTCTCCGCCAACAAAATCTCAAACCACAAGCGCACAAGCAGCTCATTACCGTTCATCACAGACAACACTCCAAGGATGCATCTCCACCACCTCTTCTCTCTCGCTCCCTCTCTCGCGCCCGCGCGCGACCGCGCGATTTCGCTCGTTCTAACAACCCTTCAAAAACCCAAACCTACGCCCAAACTCCACTTCACAATCCCGCCTCCGCCCCCGCTCTCGTCCAAACTCTTCGAAGCTTCTTCAATCTAGAATGACGACGTAGCGCACATTCCTTCAAACATCGTACCAACTCGTTGACAACACCACAAGGCGGGCCTGCATCCCACGTCCTACGGGGACCACGTGACGCACGACATGACGTCGGGGTCACGTCACAATGAACGCAAACCAGGGAAAAAAAAAACGTCCGGCGCCACTTCTGCCGTGTCGTCAGTGCCATGGCCATGGCCCCTACCAGTAGTACCAGTACCTTTTTCACCCTCCAGTACCACCACCAGCGGGTCCCTGCGCCGCTGCTGCGACTTTTGTGCCTCTCCCCCTCGCTCCTCCGATCGGGGTTTCCCCGGTGCCGTGACACTTCCGAAACCAAGCAACGCAGGGTTGAAGGCTGCTTCGTTCACTCCCGTCCGATCCTTCTCCCTCTCTCCCTCCGTCCCAGCTACGCCAACGTCGCTACTCCAGCGCCACAATGTGCATGGTCGGATCCATCATCATCGCCGTCGCCATTCCGATGGAAACGTCGCGACAACGGACTGGAACCATCGCCTCCGACGATCCTCCACAGGTAAAAGATTCCCTGCTGCTCTGCTGCGTCTCGTTTGGATCCCCATTAGGGTTTCGTTTCGCCCCTCGTCGCCTTGCCAATTCCATATAGAATCGACGCTGGCTTTTGAACTCCGCTCCCACCTTCCCCAAAATTCCATCTCGGATTGTGCACGAGATCTTGCATTGTTTGAAATTCTTTGCCTAATTCCAGACTTTTTAACGTCAAATATTTTGGCCTTGCCATGTGTTTGAGAAATCTTGTAGTCTAACTTTAACCATAAACTTCTGTGCATGATTTTTTGTCGCATGATTTTCTAAACGATGTTTTTAATTTACACAATTGACAATGTTTCTTAAAACTCATTAAATAAAAATAAAAAAAGTATTGCTACTTGACATATTACATTACATGAAAGTACATGAGTTTTATATAAATATATATATATATATATATATATATTTATTTATTTAAACATGAAGATATAATCGTAATGGCATATTTTTTTGTATACAAATCATAGCAATTACTTAAAAAATATTGTTCACATTTTTCTAAAATTCAAGTCATAATACTTTGATAATCTTATTTCAATTATTCTGTTACCATTTTGTGTATACATTTATACACATTGGGAAATAAAAAAACGTACTAAACATACAAGGGAATAAAATTTGTCAGAATAGATTATTAAAGAAGAGAGTACTTACACCACTCACCCACCCAATATAGGACAAAAGTATCTTTTAAATATGATTATTATGAAATGAGAAGTTTAATTTTAGTATGAATTTTAGTATTAGTTCATTATTCGTTTTGTCATTGAAATCCATGGCCACCCAATCCTCCGAAGTCATATTTTGTGGGAATTGACCCACAAACTTGTCAGACAGACAAATGAGGACCCTCCTCAACCGAGATAGAGAGAATGAACGCCACTAGGGTTCCGAACTCTGCCACATGCCGTCGTCACCGATCACGTCCTCCAAATCACCTCAGGACCCAGTAATATCATGGCAGATACTTCGGCAGCCCACATCCAATTGATGAATGTGAGACACGACGGATGAATTACTAATATACTTCATCTGTATGTGAGCATTCATCAATTTGTTCGTTCATATATTCATTCATTCATCCATGTGCAGTGTTTCCAGATCGCGAGTCCCTTTAACTCTTGAAACTCCACCGCGTTATACGAAACTCACCTCTCTTGGTTCAAGAAGAGATTTTTTGGAGTTTGCATAAATTTAATTTAGAAAATTTAATTCTAATGCCATGAAGAATAATTTAAGTCCGTGATCATGCTGAATAATTATTTCAATGCATCATTTTCTTTTTCTTTTTAAATCACTTTTATGTCATATTGAACATGCATGAACTTAAGAACATGTCACGAATGACTTCTAAACTTCTACAAAATTAAATATATTTGGGTGTCACATTATTTTTGAAATTGCAAATTTTAATATTTTTCAAGATTTTCAATGACTACTTTGATTTAAGTTCTTAAATCCTTTTTAACATAGTTTCTATTTGAAATCTTCCTTTGTATACTTTTTTACTAATATTATATTTTTGGCTTTGAATCAAATTACTAAAATGATGCCTTTTTTTTTCCAAAATCCAATGTCTTAGACATCGAGACATAAAAGTGTTACATATTTTTAAAACTAATTACAAAAATATAATGTTATTTCATAACTATAAAGTAAAATTAATTAAGATTGAAGACGAATTTTTTTTGATGAGGATGATGAAGAAGTTAGAAAACTTGGCATTCTGAATAAAGTTAGGATCTGAATGAATAGAAGTATTAACCCATTTTAATTGGTAACCTCTATTTTAATTAAATGCATAAGTACTTAGTGAAAAAATTCTTCAAGTCAAATATAGTTTTGTAAGATACAGTAAAATCAAACAAGTTTATAGCTGTGTGTGTATGTATGTATGTATATATATATATATATATATATCCAACAGAAAGTTATTAAAATATGTGTTTTAGGTATTCTGGTCAGAATTTAAATTAAATCCACTTTCTCCATTAATTTTTCTTAAATACCTATTAAATAAGCATTTTTATCATTTATAGTCATGTTTCTCAATAGAAATTACTAAGTTTTTCTAGTTTTTACTATGTATTTTATTGATTTCTTTTTCTATCATGATATTTTTTAGTTTCAAAGTTGTAATTATTTACCTTCACAATATTTTCTGAAATTACACAACTTTCAAATGAACTGATTATAATGACTGACTCTACTGGCGTTATTTTATTAGTAATTTGTTTTAAATTCTGTCTCTATATTGATTATATTTTTAAAACTATATGTGGATAACTACTTTATTGAATGTATGTATGTGTTTCTATACATATATATATATATATATATATTGAATAGTCTATATTTAGTGAATTTAACAGGAATATCAACTTCAATAATGTCATGAGATAAGACAAATGAATAATTGAGATACACATAATACATCATGTAACCAGAACATCACACTTCTGCAATAGTCTCAAACCAGGATGTCATCTGTAGAAAATCTCTTACCCAGTAAAAAAAAATTATATTTTCTTTTATGATCCTTTATGTAATGTATATAACTAATCACAAAAAATATGATATGTACAACCTAAGAATTTTAAGCTTTCATCTATCTTATCTTTCTGCATGTACAGTTAAAACCAATGTTTTTTTTAGAATTTATATGACCAATTTTTCTTTTAAAATGAAATGATGGAATCAAAGAATAAAAATATATTTCCATAAATAATACCACATGCCTTATTCCAGACATAATGCTGCAGTCATTGCAAAAAGTCACAACAAGTGGCTTGCTGTATTAATATTTTGGGGCTAGAAAATCCAACAAGAATTTAATTTATCCTTTCTAACAACCACACCAATTATTTGGAAGAGTCAAGTGGATATGCATCACAAAGATTCTTTACCTTGGACCAAGTATAGGAGACTCATTTTTTATCTCTTATTTATTTGCAAAACCCAATTACATATATATATATATATATATATATATATATGTTTTTAATTTAATGTTATTCATAAGGTTGTTTACACTTTGATGAGAGATCTACTTAAGGTTTTGGTGTACAGTAACAACCATAGGCTATAAAAGTAAGCTAATTTGAAGAAGTTGTACCCGTCATTCCATGTGCCCATGCAGATATGTATTTAAAAAATATAATTCTATTTTATTATTACTTGGTCTCAAATGGTCTAATGGTCAGCAATGGGCTTGTGAATGGATGTGTGGCAAGAATGTCCACATGTTTGACCAATTCCATTCTTTTCTTTTTATCATGACTTAGTGCCCTCAAAACTCCATTCAATCACACACACATATATATATATATATATATATGTGTGTGTGTGTGTATGTGTGTATGTGGGGAAGTGTGTGAGAGGTCATTCTAGAATAAAGGTTTTAGATAATTTATTGTTTTGATAAAGGTTTGGTGGAACTCTCATTCTTGATCTCTTGCTCATCAAAGTCCTACTTGGACCAACAATCATTCTTACACTTATATGATTGTGTGTATTAAATAATCTTCAATCAGTATAAGAAGAATTAGTAGAAAAATATTCCATAATAATAATTATAATAAAATGTATAAGATAATTGTAATTGTTACTGTAAACATAAAATAAAATAAACTCATACTTATTTAATTAAAATGTATTTGCTTTGTTATAATATATTAAATTACATGGGATAGAGCTTGTTGTTCAAGCCATGTTTTGTTTATGCTCTGTGTACCATCTTCATTGCTTTGAAACATTTTATAGTTGTATGGTGTTGACAAAATATAATCATGAATGTGTATACTAATATAATAATAATAATAAAAAACAAAAACAAATCACACAAAAAATGGCATGGATAAAATTAGATTAAAAATTTTATGAAAAAAACTTGGCTCTACAGGAAGGAAAAAAAGAAAAAAAGAAAAAACTTGAAATCAATTTTTTGTATTTTACAAATTACAAAAATATGTTTGAAGTCAAGTTTGTGTAACATGGTTATGATGATGGATAAATTATACTTATATATATATATATATATATATAAATCCTTCAATTCACCTTAATATGAATTGCAGTGTGCAACTTAAACATTAATATTTTGGAGATTTTGGACAGATTACTACAAAACATAACAAGCGTAAAATTGGTGAAGTTTTATTGAATCATTAGCCCCTGCAAAATTTTCAAGCCTCAATCCAACATAGAGTGTGTTAAATAATACTAAATGTATTCCAAAATCAAGCCAAAAAATCACAGTATTTTCTGGTAAAATTGACCAACAGTGATGCTCAAGCTTAATTTTTTATTGTATTTGATTTCTATTTATTTAATGATTCTACATTTGTCTCCTTCAATTTATTTTATTTTATTTTGGAGGGTAGCCTTGAGTGTTTCTTCAATGCTTTTGAGT